TCGTTCCAGTCATAAATGAACTGTTGAAAATTTTTACATATGTGTGTGTACATATAAATACATATGTACATAAACATACATATCTTCATAAACATGCATATCTACCAGGGTTGTTGCGAATATTCGAATTCGCGTTCGCAACTGCGGAGATTCCGCATTAATTTTAATATTCGCATTCGCATTAATCAATGCGGAGTTTTTGCGAATGCGAATGTTGTGCAAGTGCACCGACAAAACGTATATATGGCAAACAAAATGACAAATTGTAGCCAATATTTTTGCCTGTGGTCGTGGGAGTATTTGTGTAACAAAACTGGTCAAATGTCATATTTATCAACTTTGATAAAAATGTCTTTAAACATATTATTTCTTAAGCTATATAACCGAGCTATCGATGGGCAGAATATAGTCTTTATAACACATTTTTTTTCTGTGCTGTAAATACCTGCATTGCTTTCTTTCTTTCTTTATTATGATTTTTTTGGACCAATCTTAAAAAACTACTAGACACAAAAGAAGAAAGTGTGCACTGTAATTCTTAACCAAATTTTCGTGATTTGCCTTTGATGTTACATATATTCGTTCCAACAATTTCAAATGGGTCTCTTTGGGGAATTTATTTTTAGCAAGAGTTTTAAAACCAGTAATTTTGTTTACTTGTCGGGCAATATTTATTTCATAGGAATCATATTTGCATTGGATCCGTGGCTAAAAACTTCTGTGGTAAAACTGTTCCTTCTTTGCTATTTAAAGTCAAAGAGTAAATAGTAAATAGGGATTTCCAGCAGAAATGATAAAACTCTGGCTATAAAGATAATGGATGCTCAAATAATTAAAAAACTATAAGTCTGACCTTTAAAAAGATACAAATTACGTAGCTATCTGAGATTCAAATGCTTATAAAAAACAGGGTGATTTTTTTAAAAAATAACATTTTGATCCGATTCGGCTGGCAGCCACGACTTTGATAACAGAATTTTGTTCAAAATTTGCATTCCTGGAAAATAATAATTTATTTTCCATATCCACCTATTTACCTCGCTATAAGCACACATTTTTCAACCAGTCGCAGAAGGAAGTATTAAAAATAATAGAAACTAAAATCGAAAAACGCTCATGAAGTTACAGATTCCCCAAATTCTGAACCAGCTAATGGAATGAGAATGAAGAATTCTTTTTAAAGAGCTTTAGAAAAACCTGACCCATCTGGTTTGCTCGTAATCGCTGTTTAAACAACGATCTCGCCATTATGCTAGATTCTAATCGTTTCTTAATAATACTTGACATCCGCATTCGAATCCGCATCCGCGGATGTTAGGTGTTAGATATTCGCATCCGCATTCGCTTCCGCGGATGTCTAAAATTCTACGAATGTATACATCCCTAATATGTACATAAACATACATTATTCATATGTATGTACCCAAACGGGACTAGAAGAGCTCCGTAAGCGCCCCCTTCCTAATTCCACACCTCATTGTATTTTAACATTGTATGTCATTAGAAAGAAACGCTCGCTTGGTGTTCCTAAAAGGAGCCCTTGGTGAGCGCTTCAACTAAAGCATTTAAAAAGCGAATCATGAAATTTTCATTTTTCATATTATATTTATTTTAATAAAATAATCGAGTTTTTGTAAACCATTTGATAGTACACTGTACTCTTAAACATGGTTTTTTGTTTTTCTATGTGGTATACACATGAACCAAAAAGACAAGATCACGCGGGCAGGAAGTAGCCCGTTAGAATCGCATTTAGGAAAAAAGTTGAACGATTTTGACATTAGCCGTTTGTTTACATCTCTTCGTTGTTTACAATTTGGTGGCGGCTTTTTACTGCAATTTTCTTCATTTTCGCTTGTGACGACGTGTATACACATAAGATAAAGAATAATTTAACGGCATGATTTATAGAAGAATTTGCATAATAAAAATGATTTTTCATGCGTTCAACAATTTCGCGGTTTTCTCCGTTCTCTTCGTTGTTTACTTCTTACATGGTGGTATACATATAAAACTAAATATGTACATACATATGTACATATCGTCGTTTAAAGTACAAAACCGCGTATCATTCTGCAAACCGCGTAGCTGACTTTCTAAAAAATAATTTATGCAACCTCACATACGTGGTTTTGCATTTTGTTGATACCCGGTTTTGTACTTCAAACGACGATATGTATGTACCAACATTAGACTGCATCACCAAAAAAAATTGCGGTTTTTCCGCCGGGATTACAAAACCTATTATATTTGAACACGTCCACCAAAATATTTCGCAAAAATAATAA